ACATACCTCATATAAAAATATAAACATAATACTAAACAACCTAAAACTACCTCGGGTACATATCTGTAGTACCTGTTACGACAACGACCCTTCGTGCATTAGTAGGAGCCATCATCATTAGACATTAGTCATTACATATAAATATTATATCATTACAAATCTTACTAATAGTAATACAGCCCTCGACACTAACGATTGTCCGATTGCCCGGGACAAGTGAAAGTCTATGTCGGACAAGTTATTCGCTTGCCTAGTTGACCGATCGGACAACTGAAAAGTTCTAGTTGTTTAATATTCTTAACATCCTCTGAGCCAGGGCACTATCGCACCACAAACTCACTTCAAACGCTTTCAAAGGTCCCTGAAAAAAGCAGCCCGCGACACCCACTGTTACCATTACAGATTTATTCAGAGCGGCAATGCATACCTCCCTGGCCGGGGCGGCATTGATTTATGTACTGGGGTGGGGGTACGATTGTTTATAAGTCGGTTGGGGCATATTCATTACTGAATATGTAGGGGGTGGGCATCGCTGGGATGAGAGGACGACAGCAAAACTCTTTCCTGTGATTGAGGAAAATGCTGCAATCGGTAATGACACACAACGAGCGTGCCAGCATGCAAACATAAACGTGTGAATTTCATTCATGTATATTATAAGTCTCACCCCATATTTTGCATTGAAAAGTTGGTACAAAGATTGGTACATTAACAAGATTTCTTAGCCTCGTCTATAAGTCGCACCCCCTGATTTTTTTTATTGAAGTTGTGTACAAAAAGCGCGGTTTATACACAAGTAAATACGGTATTCATATACTGTAAGTGTAATACACACGCACGCACACACGCAAACGTGCACGCAGACACATGCCTAGGTATGTGCGAGCCTATATAGACACCGTCAGGTCAAAATACTCAGGAATCAAAAAGACAACTACATCATACAACCCTACTACAGAATCCCTCCATCTCCTCTACTCCAATGTTATATACGTATAGTATATCTATTTATATAAATAGATCTCATATCTTATATCACTCCGATAATATAATATGCACTAACCAAAAGAGGACATTAACGCCATAGATTGCCAACAAGTAAATTGTGGACAATAAAATCAAATCGGACAAGTAAAAATTGCTAACACAACAAACACACACAATCTGAAAATAAGGCGAAGCCTGAATACGTACTAATAGCACTAACCCATAATACTACTATAAGATACAATTAATGTAACCCAACAAATAGGTATGTATAACGTGACGCCGTAATTCTATTATCTTTGAGGACCCCTGAGTGATCACGCAGGGCGTTTATGGTGGCGTTTGCAAGCATACAACTTCTAAACTGGTTTATTCTAAACACGAACCTTAATCTCCGCTATCCTGGGACTGTACTAACAGGCTTCAGATTTATAAAGTACAGGAGGATACAATCGACCTAGAACACATCAGGGGGACTATTTCAACGCTCCATAATCACCAAACACCCCAACTCCCCTTAAGAGCAGATGGAGAGCCCACTTAAAAAATCACACCTTAAGAGGCCATCGATGGAGCTCCACTAAAAAATCACAACCTTTAAACGGTCTGGCCATTTTAAGATACGACGAAGGGTGTAGAAAGTTGCATTCCTCATTGGCTACTGAAACTAGAGAAACAAAAAATACTGCCGTAGGGCTCCGCGACCATTGCATAATTGACCAACTCTATGAACAGGGAAACTATGCCGCAAGGCTACGCGTGACGCGGCGGCTTTGATGAACACGATCGATGGTCGATCGGCGTACTATATAACGGCCTGCGTTAGCACGCGCAGGATACACACACACACACACACTTGCAGCGGTAAAAACGCAACACATACATGCCAACAGCTGACAACTCTCAAACCAGTGAACTATATAATGAACACACACACACCACAACCGCATCGATCCCACCACTTCACCTAAAAACAAACAAACAAATATATACCGCATTAAAATGAAGGTACTGTTTAGTAAGGAAAAAACAGAGCTGTAAAATCAATAATTGTAAACTTCAACGACCCTCCTAAAAAAATTTCATCATCAACAGATTAGACATTTCACAAAATCGACCCTGACGTGAACTCCGCGATCTCCGCGGATGTCCGCGGAGGATTCTTCATCCTTAAAATGAAGCGCTATTTCAACATAATACACAGAGTTTTGGTGCGCGATTTCAACCACTTTTATGAGGCGCGATGATGCACGCACCATGGCACAATTTATGGTGCGCGGTGGAGCGCGAGCGCGATCGCGCCCCTTAAAAATGAAAGCCTGTTACTATGTATCACAATACTCTGTATTAAACTATTATAACCTGTTACAAAATTTCGAAGTGACGAGCGGCGATATTTCGAGCGCCATTTCAGTTGACCTGTGACGTACAGATTCCCAATCCCAATGCGCATAGCGTTCGGCTAACTTCGACTCCAAGATCGAATGACAGAATGTATCATGAGATGCCTGCTGTCAGTCATGACGTCATGACGAAGTTAGCCGAATGCTATGCGCATTGGGAATCTGTACGTCACAGGTCAACAGAAATGCCGCTCGTCACTTCGAAATTTTGTACGCAGTGGCTGGAGGTACGGCAGCCGTCGTTCGTTGAAGCCCCTTTTTGGCGTTAGGGTTAGGTTTAGGGTTAGGGTTAGGTTTAGGGTTAGGGTTCTAGCTCATCTAAACTCTCAAATCGTGAATTTATTTCCCAAGGCGTTATTTCGAAATCTGGCGCCACCGCCGCCATCTTTGTCTCGTTAAGTATGAAAGCGAATGGACTGCCGTACCCGTAGCCTCAAGACATTAAGATCTGGCTGCCGTACCTGTAGCCACTGCCAATTTTGTAACAGGTTATAATAGTTTAATACAGAGGATGTGATACATAGCAAGTCCCAGGGTAGCATAGAAAGGTTCGTGTTTAGAATAAACCCAGTTTAGAAGTTGTAGTCTCGAAAAACGCATCGGCATAAAACCGCCCTGAGTGAATCACTCAGGGGCTCCTCCAAATAAAAGAATAGGCTCGCGTTGTAACCCTACTCTTGTTGCGTTACATTATTGGGTTCAAGGATAGAGAATTAGAGATGATGTCCAGGACGGTGATAGGATAGGATGATGATGTTCATTACTAGACATGCTCTCTATCCTTGAGCCCATTAAGGGCATTATTGTATCTAGTACTACTATAGCTCTAGTATTAGTAACTATAGCACGTGTACGGTTGCCGCTGGCAACTGTACGCGGCAGGCCTCGAATTAAGTGACGAAAGGGGCAAGGCAATTTTTTGGGGGCATGTGAGAAATTGCCTTGAATTTTCTCTAAAAAGGATGGGCACCGAGGCAATTTTAAAAGGCATCAAGGCAACTCTCACAATTTGAGAAGGGCACCAAGGCTCACTTTTGGTAAAAATACAAGGAAAAGCTCATAACAAAATTAATACATCAACCTCTGCTAATGAAGTACAGTAACAGGCGTTCAACGTACGTTAACTTTTTATTTCACTAGACCATCGCGCTAGTAACTGAGGAAAACCACCAGCCCTGACCTAACTTTCAGCTAGCCCAGACCCAGACCATTGTTAATTAATGCAAAACTTGTGTCATCGTATGAATTCTACTAAAAATTTCCTAGATTACTCGGCACTTAGCGAAGCTACACACCAATACAGGTCCAGCAACTGCCATTCCTGACAGAGGCGTCGTTCCCGCGCTTTAAAATCGCGCAGCGCGCCGAGTCCGGGCCGTGCAGCATTTAAATATTCGTGTTCTACCACGTGCATTACACAGGCGGGCACCAGATTTATGCGATCGTCTACTGCAGCCGGTGGCAGCAAGCCAAGCGTTTACCGGCTATTGCGTTTTTGGCCGAAGGTAGACTGGAATCCGGCCTCCCACGCTCTGCTAGACAATGCACACGCTCTGCGACAAACAGTGCGGCCAGCGAACACAGTCTACGCAGAGGCGTCCGACAGGCAATTAACAGAAAAGGGCAAGGCAGGTGATGCCGTCGGTCCGGGTTGGAATTTTTAGGGGCAGTACGAGGAGCGATTGATAGGCACCGGACGGCAACTTGCCCTGTCCGGTGCCGTCGAAGTATCGAGCCCTGGGTATTCTGTTCGTGTTGCTATAATTAGTATTACTAGAGCTAGTACTACTAACTGAGTACTACTACTGACTGGTACAGGCTTTCACTCTTTTAGAGGGCGCAAAAAATCGCGCTCGGCTCCAACCGCGCACAGGCGCCGAAATTGTGCCATGGTGCGTGTCATCAATCCGCGGCCTCTATAAAGTGGTTGTGCAGCAAAACTGTATGTGTATCTATCGTGAAATTAGCGCGTCAAAAGAGTTGTCAAATCGACTCAATGTAGGGGGGTACAAAGTATTACTAATAACTAGTATTCACATTAAGTATTATGGTAGTGGGAGTACGGTCCAGCTGTGACGTCTGCTAACTGTACTATGTACTGATGACATAGTCTGTAGCAAGCAGCGCACTTGTGACTTGAAGGTATCAACCATGTAAACACACTGCTTAAAGCAGAGAGTTGGCTACTAGACTTGCTGATGAGACGCGGAGACGTCCTTTCAAGCATGAACAAATAGCACCGCCGCCTTGCATTGCCGCGTACCACTGACACATAAATATATACGATATATATTTATGTGTCAGTGTACGCGCAATGGCGGCGGCGTGTGTTTACACGTTGATACGTTTCAAGTGCCTGTGGTCTGTAGGGCCATAGATGGCTAGTGCTTGCACATTTGAGAGAGAGTTAATCTGTGGTCACCAAATCGAGCCCCTAAACAGAGATAAGTGGTTAAACAAGTGTAAAGTAAGCAGTAAATTCAGGTTAGCAATACATTATCGTAATCTTACTTTCCTTATTTAGTAAACCACCAACTACTAAACTATAAGCATTTAAATAGCGTGCCGGTGCCTGGTTCAATGAATAAGCCATCGGCGAAAGTTTCTTACGTGTGTAATGGAGGGCGGGAAATCCAACTTCAGAAATCCGCACACCCATAAACGTTATGGGGTTGTCGATTTCTATGGGGCGAAACGCTCACTTCAAAAAACGCCGTCACGTTCATTGTACGCAATGACGGCATAGCGTTAGCAAGTGTGTTCCAGCATAATAGCCTGACGAGAGTTGTGAGTGTGATCATCAGGTCTACATGGTGGAGCAGTCTCGCGTCACGCGCGCGCAGCAAAACTGTGCCAAGAAAAAAGAAAAGAAAAAAAGAAATATACTTTGGGCTATATAATTGTGAACTTGAATCCAAATATTACGAAAAAGTCGGGGAGAGGCCAATGGGTCGAAATTTCAACTTAGCATGTTACGTAATTCGTGATAGTTTAGGTTTTTCTGAATGTTCTGGTGTAGTAAAAAGTTACTGTTTGTCAACCGCTGCACTGAGAAAATGAAACTGAAGGTTAGCCGTGAACGCTGTATGCCGGTTGCGAGTGTTCTTAATCGTAGGATGGCGAACTGAAAGATTGATAATTACTTGTGCTTTAATACACCATGATCGCTAACCCTAACCTAATCCTAACCCTAAACCCTAAGCCCTTAACCACTAATCAGTCGACCATCCTAACGGTCACCATCAGTTAGACCAAGTCCTATCCTTCATGTCGCCATCATACGATTTAAAACTCGCCATTGCCGGTTTATCAATACGGATTTTAAACATCGTGTAGCCAAGACTCAAGAGCGTATTAAGAAGGTTAATTAATTACGCTCTTGAATTGTACTGCTGGAGAATCGCTATGGTGGCGGCGGGGCGGACAGCCGGGAACTTTGCCAACATCCGGGACTTTCTTAACAACTAGGGCAACCAGGCTGTGCCGCAGTGAAAACAACAGCCATGTCTCGCGTGAGCTACAACGCGAATACCCCATTCTTCGCAAACCAAAAAAGCATACTAATTTCGCTTCGCATATCATGCCGAAAACCCTTGTGTAGTAGTAGGGTTGTCCCCAAGATCATAATATATTGCCACAGAATAAGAAAAGATTGTTGTTTTTGGAGGCTGCCAAAAATGACATAAAGTCTAGAAGCGGCGATGTTAAGCTCATAAGTGGGTGCTGACTGCCACTTAAATGTGAATGACGTAAGTGTAAATGTACGCACATGGATGTCCGTACAAAATTCTCGGACTATTCTGTTCTTGATCATGTGTCGTGACAGGTAGAACTACTATCTTTAATATATCTGCGTGTGTGTGTGCGTGCGTGACAGGACCTAGCA